TCATTGTTTGACTCGGTCTTCCGCGGTGACCCCATGCGACGGCCGAGACGATATCCACCGGCGTCGCAGAGCCCCCTGAGACCTGTGGACTCCACGGACCTGGGTGCATGGTCGGCACTGTCTGTCCAGCACCCTGCTGTGAGCCGTTGTTTCCATTTGTAAGGATTTCCGAGTCCCCGGGGAATTCCCACGGTGCCTTGGGGGGCCCGGCTCTTGAAGTCGGCGCGCGAGTCACATCGCTCGTCAGCCGGCTGGCGTCCACGAAATCAGGCAATCCATTCGGGCCGTGGTTGAAGTCTGGGTTCCAGGAATGGGAGTTGACCAGACGAACGAGTTTCCCTAGGACCGCAAATTCGAGTTTCAGTTTGATACTGTATATTGTCGCTTTGAGGGTTGTTTCTATTGCGTAATAACTGGCGTATGCAGTACCCAGTATCCCCAGATCCATGATGATGAAGATCAGGTTGATGCTGAGCAGCTGATACATGATCCTCCGGTTCCCATTTTCCGAGGATAGACGTAGGATTTTAATCGCTTCGATGATGTAAAGCGTTGAGAGAAGGAGTTCCTGCAGACAGAAGCCCGTCATCTGTATTTTCTCCATGACTGAATATGCCGCGATAAACCGGTGGCTCGCACTCAAGTTGGACCCAAAAGTCAAGACCGTCGTCGGGATGTGAAGAAGGACAACATTGGCGATGATGACGGCCAAAACCCGCCGCAGCACTTTCCGATCCCGCTGCACCAGGTGTAGGGCGAGAATAGAGCACGAACGACTGGCCAGTAACCATACACCACCAGCCGATCGTAATGAAGACCACCGAGAGCCAAACGGAGCCCATCAGCCCAAAGAATTTGATCAGGTACCCAACCGAATAGGGCAACACCCCGCAACGCCGGCAACGAGCAAGCTCCAAAAGTAGAGTCCGTGGTATCGCGTGAAAGTGACAAAGACGAGCACGCAAAGCTCAACCGCATTATACCACGCGATTCCGATAAACGTCGCAATGGCGACTTTTACCGCAAAACTGGTCCCTTCATACGGCCCAGTCAAGCCGTCGTACCCCATCCCCGCCGCCATGCCCGACCCCTTCCCGCAAAGGAAGGGATCGTGTTTCCTCTCAACGACGGATTAGCGAGACACGGTCGAATTTGCGCTAACCGGCACCGTCGGGGATGCCATCGACGGGAACGATCAAGGTCATATCGAAGAAGTTGCAAGAAAAAGATTATCCCCGCGTCAAGGGGGCCCGGGGCACGCGAAGACAGGCGGCGGCGGGGGGGAGGGCGAGCAGAGGTTTTTAAAAAGCTGACACCGGAGAGGCATGTGGAGTTGTGGGAAGCCTATTCGACGTGTGCCGGCAGCAGTGGCCCGTCAGAAACGGAGGATTTTGGCATCCAGTTGAAAAAGAATCGCGGTTGTGCAACTAATCAGCCCACATGGCGAAGTGGACCTGATATCCACCGTCGTCGGTCAAGATCGGGCTGGATACGTTGCGGCAAGGCGAACCGGCTGGCACCTGGCTCATCGCATATTCGAGATGTGGGCTCCGTGATTGCCCAGTAGCGGTGGCCGTCTTCATCGCGTCGACAATGTGCGGTGAAGCCATCGTGTGTGCTGGGTTGGGAATTGGTGCGGCATCGGGAACCAGAGCCTGGATGCCACCCGACGCGAGCGGCGAACCCGAGGCTGGTGAACAATTTTGAAGGATCAGTGATATCTTGGTTTGCTGCCGTGATTGTACTACCTGGTGTTTCGCGTGCAGAAAGAATGGCGGGTTTGTTCTGATTGCTACTACTTATGTTTTAAATCATGAATGTCACAATACCCCTGGAATCTACGACCAGGGTGCGAGGCAGATGCAGGTCATTTAAGCTTCATTTCATTTGAACTGCCCGATTGTGCTCGTCTCCTCTAACCGTCTTCAAAGACTCCTCGCTGCACAAAGATGTCGTGCAAGCCAGCACCAAGTGGGTGGCCGGGCGTATGAGGGTCTTCACTGGAAACCGAGTGCGTCAAAGGGAAAGGGGCAATCAAAAGGTGAGATGTCGATGAAGAATACCGACGAACCAAGATGCATCCCAAGCCTCAGACTGTTCCCGTAAGGAAAGCCTTTAGCAGGGCCTTCGCGTACAGGTCGCATGCTTCTATCGCCCGAGTTAGATTGTCACTTCAAGTAGTAGAGAGCGCACGACAACCCTCTTGCTCCTTGAGCCCCGTCCCCAAACTTCCGCAAACACCATCTTGTGGACCGCTGAGCCTGCGCGATTGTACCTGTCACAATGTATCCCAGCAGCGTGTTGTCAAAAAGGCCCCATCTCGTCAGGGCTGCCTTGAAACAAAACAAAATCCTCTTCCAAGCTCAGGGCCCTTCCAGTTTGCCCCCAGTCGCTTTCACCACCTTCTCCACCTCCTTTTTGCACTCTGGCATCGCACTAGCCATCTCCTTCGCCAGTACATCCCTGAAGCTCGCGAATGCCTCCATCTTCCCCTTCAAATCCTGATTAGACTTCTGCACCAGCTCGACAAACTCTCGCGTGTAAATGTCCGGGTTGCGCGCTGCGTCGACATAGTCTATTATCTCGGGAGGTAGCTGGATGCTCTGTAGGGGAGGATCAGGGGAGGAGAGCGCGGTCCGGGATGGTGCGGGTGGCACATACGAAGGATCGGGGGCGGAGTGGGCGGAGAGCGTCTGAAGAGAGATTGTTAGGGATTTCCTTTGTGGGTTTGGTCAGGTTAGCTGTCCACACTCGTGAAGCTCGTCTTGATCTATGAGATGGGTTGACGAACAGCTTTTTGACTAATTCCTGTTGGGTCTCGGGGCCCAAGTAGCCGTGGATGGCGGATTGGATCTCGAAGAAGTTCTGGATGACGTCCTTCAAGTCCTCTTGAGACAGAAGTCAGTTCGGCTGATGCTCTTCAGGTTGGTTCAGAAGTAGTCGCTCACCATCAACCTGGCTTAATGTCACCGGAGCCATGATCGCAAAGAGGAGATGCTTGACGTAGGCAATGTTGAGCGCTGAATGAGCTGCCTGGAGATATTCGTTAAAGGAGCTAGGCTTGGCATGATAAACTCAACTATCAACCAGATACAATGAAGATAATATACATTCAGTTCAGCCAGACCATTTGAAAAATTGCCCCTATTGAGTTATGATAATGGGTGCCAAACAGAACAGGCAAAAAATATCCGCTCAGAATGCTTATACGCGAAGACGAACGGCCACATACTGGAAGTGCCATGCCGTCAGGGCGTCGTCTATACCAAGAGATTCGACGGAGACTTCAAGTACAAGACAATATCCACAGAACAAAAAGTCCCAAATTCCTCGTCTGAAATAACCAGAGCTCGAGGAAACGCAAAGATGATTATATGCAGCGCGAGAATGTATACAGACGAAGCTTCCGCCAGAGCTCATCATCATCTATCAAAAAACACATATATAGATATCTCACAGTGTTGTTATTAACTATACTTCTTTCGTGCGCACCAAGGGGACTTTGGTTGTGGCAGCGGGTAGTTCTATTTCAGTCTCAACGAGTTCAAGCCCTGATAAACTTGGATACCGCCGGCTAAAGCTGATTTCCCAATCTTCTTTTGGATTAGAGGGTTTGCGATCCAATGACAGGCGACTCTCCGGGCTGGGGCCGGTTGGCATCTCAGCGTGGCTTCGTAAACTCTTTGGCTTTGGAGGTGCAGCCGGGCGGGGGCCATGACGGGCTGGGAAGGGCGACTGTGGCGACGAGGGCTGGTCAGTTGGGTGCTGAGGAAATCCGACGGGCCTATTTGTATCTTTTGAGGCGGGCCTCGAGCCATGATCCTGGTTTGGTGGAGGAATCGTCGGTTTTCGTGTGATCAAGGACGGAGGTCTCTCTAAAAGCGGTCGCTCAAACTGCTTTGCCTGCAAAGCAGCATCTGCATCAGTAAACCGACCATAGCCCGAAGCAGTTCTGACCGAGGGTTTGGAGGTGTCTTTGAAGAGAGACTGGACCTTATTCTGTATTGTTGATGACCTGGGCCCTTCGGCTGCCCCACCCAGGCCTCCTTTCTCGCTCACTCGCTGTCGATATTCCGCTGCAGCATCGGCCACTCGCTTTTCTTCTTCGGACAATCGGCGTCGTTCAAGCTCCCGGCGTGTCTCAGGTGACAAGTCCTCTTCATTAAATCCTCGACCATCATCACTCATATCGGCAACCTCCGATCCTATAATGGGACTAAGCTCGGCATTTCTGTCTTCCAGAGATGGGCTTTTAAGTTCCTGAGACGCATTGTTTTCAAATCGACGGAATGCATCCCCGAAACGACCAGCTAATAATGTCTTGGTCCCGGATAGAGATAACGATGATAAACTCGATCGCTTAATGTGTTTGGATCCCGAGCTGAGACGCTTTTCTTGTTTTCGACTCAGCTCTTCCTCCTCCTTCGCTCGTAAGTAGCCGACGTCAGATGAAATGTTACGGTCTGTTTCCGACCTTACCGGGCGCAACAGCTCAGAATCATCATTTGGTTCCCGTGGAGAGCCAGAATCATAAGAATTGGAGGAAGAACCATCCCGGTCTCGCAAATACTCAACTTTAGACCCGATATATGCACTAGAGGGCCGGGATTTCGCATTGGCGGATTTAGAACGAGTGGTCAACGACTCGTTGATATCAAGCGCGGATGGACGCGACCCTTCTAAGGATGGACGTGAGGACACTGGTGATCTGGGAAGGTCTTCTGATGATAGATTTTTTGAGGATCGCCGGCCCAATAACTCGCGCGATTTGTTCAATATATTGAGTCCATGGTCCCATGATTGGCGTTTAATATGCGACCCTTCTAGTAGCCTATTCGTGGGTCGAGAAGGAAGAGGTGTATGATCGGAAGGTCGTAGTGGTGGAGATGGGGATGTCATAGTACCGGTGGATACCATGGCTGGTTTTTGAGGAACAGGCTGATAGATTGGTGCTTGTTGAGATGGGCGAATGTTGGCTTGAGTCGTTTTCTCCTCGGTGAGCGGGCGCGGGGGTTTTGCAGGCTGTGCTGCCAGTGCGGGACTCCGGGAAGGAGGAACAGTAGCGGGCTTGACAAACGCATCGTCTGCAAGAGCATTGGTAATTCTTTTGGAAAGGTCTTCTGTCGGGGCGTTTTGGTCAGCAGCCACCGCGGGCTCGAAGTCGAATTTCCCGCTTTTCTCATGAATTAGGGTAAACTGGTCCAGTGTTGGGAACCTGCTGGACAGTTCGTCAGGATGCGTCGATTTGGCTCCACCATCAAGCGCAGCAAATGGGTCATGAGCCGCCGCGGCTCGGAGAGGGGAGGGGCTCGGTTTCGCTGAATGTTGAGCAGAAGTAGGTTTCGATGGCCGCCCTCTCCTCATCGGCGCAATCTCAGGTATTATCTGGGTTTCCTGCATGGGCGGGGAGAATACAGCACCAATTTTTGGTGTCTCGGCAGGCGTTGGGAGCTTTTGGTTGAGCCGCGCTTCGGACTGCGAACGTCCGGAATAAATCTATGATACATGAGAATGTATTGACTGCCGGTAAACAGAAATGTGTACTTACGTCTCGGACTGGGACTTCCTTTCCTCGCATATGACAAGCTTCACGCAGAACCTGGTAGATGTTGGGGCGGTTTTGAGGGTGTTCCTTCAACATGGAGGCTTCAGACAGATAGTTAGACCAGGCTATAACACAATAAGCGGTCGCAACCTACCTATCAACAGTTTTAACCGGTCGGAAAATTGCGGATATGCGGGGAACTTGAACCTGGCATTTAGAATTGCCATCTGCCCAACCTCTTCGAAGGGAGTGGTGTAGTAGCAAAGCTTGTATAGCAAAACGCCTAATGCCCAGATATCGCTCTTCTCGTCGATTGGGTGCTTTCGGTATACATCAATCATCTCAGGGCTTCGATACTGCAAAGTCGTGTGCCGCTGGACATCGTCTTCGATAAGGCGCCCCTCGGCAGCAGAGGTAGCGGGTGGGCGTGGCGGGGCGGCTGATCCAAAATCGCACAGCTTGTAGAAACACGACGAGCCGTTGAGAGAAATCAACACATTCTCCACCTTCAAATCTCTGTGTAAGAGGGGAGGCTTGAGGTAATGCATGCAAGCAACACCTTCCGCCACGTCTGTGAAGATCTTCAACACCTCGGTTTCCGTCAACCGATTCTGAAGCCTCGTGTTCATGAAGTCAATTAATCCACCCCCGGCGCAGAATTCCATGAGCAAAAACACCTCATATCCGCCTCCTTGTAGCTGTGAAGCGTGAGAGTCGATATAGGTAACGATATGCCTGTGCCCTTTTAGCTTCTTCATCGTCTCGACTTCTGTCCGCATATTCGCGAGTGCCGCTTTATCGGGAACAGCGACCCGCTTGAGCACGGCAGTTTCAGAGTCATCGACGGGTTGCGGGAGGCGGACGACATAGACGTGCGCAAAGCCTCCCTCAGAGAGGTACTTCTCTATGACGACACGGTGACTTCCAACCTGCACCTTTGTCCCTGGCATGAAAGTGCCGGCGGGCGCTGCAGCGGCGGAGGCCATCGGGGGGTAGGGTTTGTTTTAGCCAGTTTGTGTCTGAACTGATCAAGAAAATCGAGGGGATGATTCGTGCGGTCGTGGGCGAGTCGAAGAGCGTTGACGTTGGGAGACAGCATACATCCAGGTGCTCGGCTGGGAGGGATAGCTAGGACACGACGGCGGCCGTTGACGCGGGGTAGCTAAATCACAAAAGGCGCTGCATTGAGGATGATTATGAGGATCCAAAGTAGAACAGCCGTGTATCTGCCAAAAGGGATATCGGCGTGCTTGGGCAGTGACTTGCTCAGCCGTTGTCGAGGATGATGATGGCAGGGGAGCTGCTCAGCAGACGGCCAATACGGAGGCAACCTGACCGTCGAAAAATTACAGCCAATCAGGGGGCGCGAACCTAGCCTCCGGTACCGAAATACGGGACTTTTGCGGCGGTATCGCTGGTAACTTTGCGGTATAACAGGTCATGTGGGTATGTATGTAATGTTCCTGGTGAGAACATCAGACGATCGGAGGCGACGGCGAGATGAAATCATGGAGCAGCGGCGAGGTAGGTCTGGAGGGAGAGACGATGGAGATAAGGGACTCGTTTATATCTGTGCTGATTGTCGACACTACTCCGTGACGCTAGTTAATTCGCTGCCTGGCCTCCTGTCCCTGCCTGCCAACACGCTCAGACCATGCGTTTTGCAATAATAGCATGCGGACACATTTCGACGGTGCCCGGATGCCTACTAAAGAATGCAGGAGATGAAACAGAGCCCAACTGGCCGTTTCATGATTTTCTGACAGCTACTGTTCGCTGCTCAGGCCTGAACCTTGATCACACTACAGCGCGACAACACCCCTTTTATACCACTGCCCAAAAAACACATCCAAGCACTTGAACATCAATACCCGTAAGTAAATGTCATCTTTTCATCTCCCCGCCTCGCAAGGGCCGAGTCAATGTCCATACCAAGTAGTTTCACGCCAACCAGAAGCCTCACATACTTATCCCATAGCCCGCCCCCAACGACGACCAAGGGGGGTGCGCCTTCGCCCCAGTGCTGCTTTCCACCCAATCCCGAATCGTGTTCATCCGCCAGATCACCCTCCGACCAGCGGTGCAAATACTGTTTCCGTGCATCATTGATCATCCGAAGCATAATCCTCAGCCCGACAAACCCAATCAGACTCAAGAGCGTGGTGCCAAAAGTCATCAAGAAGGGCGTGCGAAAACTATCCTCCTGATACTTTGGGGCGAATATTTGAGCTGCAAATATCCCGGCTAAATTTCCATAGCCATTGATACCAAGGACAATGGCCCGTTTTCCTGGATCGGGGATGTTCCCGGCATACCACGCCACGGTGAGCGGGCTCGGTATGAAACAGCCGCTCAACAGTAAACACATACAAAGATACAATATCACAGACCCGATGGAGGTAGAGGGCGGTGAAAATAAGAGAGTCAGGGCGAGCCCGGCCATGATGACACAAAGGCTGGCAAAGATGGGAACAAAGCGTTTGCGTGATTTGTCGCTCCAATGCATAAAGATATAAAGCGTCACTGAAGCCAGGAGGAACGGAGGCACAGTGAGTATATTGGCGTGTAGTGGCGATGCCACTTTCGATGAAGATAGGACGATCGGTAGGAATATTGAAAACCCTGTACTCGGAATGGCAGAAGCGATATTGAGGAGGAGGATCGGGAGGACCATGGGCAAGAACAACACAACGGAAAGGATTTCTGACTTCGAAATCCCGGCATCAGCCGTGAAATTATTGCTATCACGTATATGCCAGTTCCCGCGAAGAGTCCGGTCGTCTTCGAGCAATCGACGCGATTGTTCCCCTTCTTGCCCCGACAGACTATCTGTCACCCTAGTCATACCAGAGCCATGGCAAGAGGCTATTTCGCGATCAGCATTGACGCGGGCTTCAGCGCATTTCCGTTCTTCCCGAGATAGAAACCACGCGGTACCTCCACTTTTCGGCAGCCATAGAAAGCCAATCAAGGCGGTCACAATCGTCAAGGACCCTTCAACTGCAAACAAAACTTGCCATGGCTTCCAAGAGTCATCGGATTCGAGCTGCACCGTCGATGGCGCTCTGCCACTTGGAAACCGAGAAAATACGACAAATGCGATGAAACCACCCAGTGCGCCGGCCACGCCGTATGAGCCGTAGAATAGCCCCAGCCGCCGGCCAAACTCATATCTGGTATAGAAGAGAGATAGGTATGACACAGCCGTGGGATAGAAGCCCGCTAGGAAACGTCCACCAGATCAGCATGGGACTATAAGCTGTGACGGAAGCGCTCCCAGCTTCAGCTAATGCAAGATTTCTTGGGGCGAAAATCATCGTGCGCGATGTAAATCTCAGAGAAACCTCACCTTCCAACGACCCGAGAACCACGCGAAGCAAGATCAACTGCCACCGCTTGCTCACCCAGATATGGAGCAACGTACAGATACCCCACAGGGTCATCACACTCGGCACCCAGATACTCATACCAAATTTCCGCCCGGCAGCGGCACCCACCGGCTGTAGCGCAACGAAAAACACAAAGAACCACGCCACCGCATCGTTTAAATCTTCCTTTTGCAAGCCAGCATCCCGGGTGAAATTAGCGGTTTCGGCATTTCCGATATTGGACCGGTCGAGGGAGTTTACCAGGAAAAGGAGTGATAGAAACGGCAAGAGGATACGGTCTATTTTCCGGACAGTACTGCGCGTGAGCCCATCGTGCAGTGTCCCTGTCATCGTGCTCTTCGACCCGCAGTCCACCCAAGGGGCATGAGATCCGAAACAACGCCCGCCGCAAACATCGGCAATTCGGGCAGGACGAGCGGCGATTAGGTAAGCAGATATATGGGAGACGCTAGCCAAATATAGCCTAGTGCCATCTTGTGAACCTGGCCCACTTAATTTAAGGTTGGCCAATAAGCGGGTACCTCGCGGGCCGGCCCAAAACAGAAATACCAAAACAAACAATCACTGCATCTGAACAACTTCAACAATTGGACTTTATGATTGCTGAGACAAATATCAGACTGCCATCCCGGAAGAAACGCAGTAAATGCTGTGGCAGCTGTTATAATCCGCCGTCTCCCAGCTTTGGACTTTGTATGGTACGACTGGCTTCAAGCTAACTTGGGTATTCTGTTGACGAATGCTGCAGCCCAACATTCCTCCTCGTTTGAAGTGCTGGCTTATGGGATAAAATAAAACAATAACAGTCGATCTATGCCTGTAGATATTCCATCTTTTGTCATTATTATTGCTCGCTTCGATTGCTGCCTCTTGAGAATCCCCTGTGTTTGCAAAGTTGGTCGAAATCTGTCAGGTTTTTTTTTATTTTAACTCATCATTGGATCGCGGCAACGGCCCGCCCACCTTCAGAGGAGATTCGTCCCTCTGATCCGATTGGAGGTGCGCAGCCGTTGGCTTTTCTTCCAGGCTGTCACGCAACGTCCCGTCCAACAGTCAACATTCTGGTCGGAATTTTGTCACCTTCGACGCATTTGTTGATCTTTGCTGGTGTCTTAATCCTTGACCAACTGACGTTTGCCTGCTGTCTTGGACCCAGTAAAGACTCGAGAACCCTTGGATCTTTCCTCGATTCGGCTTAATTCCTGTGCCACTCTTCCAAAACACACATTCAAATCCGCTGAAGATCGCTTTCGATTCGCTCACCACCACTGCATTGGCCTTGCTCGCATCTCTTGCTATCACCCCGCGGTTTGTTTTGGATTCCCTCATCCCGCGACACTGACCTGGCGTGGAGCGCAATCTCGTCTGCCCTCTACCACTGCTGAATCGCCTTGACTTGGGCTCGTCTCTTTCCAATCAACCTTTTTCGGGATTCTTCTTCTCGCACTTGCTGTCTTTTCTCAACGAGTGTCACTCCAACTGCCAGAAACGATCGCGTTGCCACATGTTTGCATAACCATGAAGAAGCGTCCCTCAAATCGCACAGATCGAACGGTACACAACCTTTTGTCTTAACCATTGTGTAGTGCGGTAGGAAGACCGCTTCCTTGCCGAAAAGTCTGGATTTCTCTGCAACATGGACGGTCCACCTCCACCACCACCCCCTCATGGGGCAAACCCGAGAACGACTGCAGACGGGGCAGCAGAAGACGGACAATATCGAAAAGCATCGGATTTACCTGACGGGCCATACGATATCTTCATCATCCCTCCTCATTCTTCGGGCTCTGGATTCCTCTACCTCCCGTCGCTGCAATGCCACAGGAATAGTTTCTTGGCCGGAGTTGCCGCCACCCTGTTAGGCGTGGTTCTATATGTTAATGTCTTGCCTGTATTGAAGAATTGGTTTGCGACTGTTGTTCAAAGTGGAGGCATGGGTGTCTTCATGCTTGTGATCGGCGTGGGAGTGATTTGCTGGACTGTCGGCAGAACCCAAACTGAAGGCAGCTCCCCGAAACCTCGAAATCGCGAAAGGCCTACCTCACCGAACGGGGGCCGTGGTCCACGAGGTCCTCCTCCCCGCCCGCCGCCGGCTAGTGGTCCGCCTCCAAGCGGTGGTCCAAATCCGTCCGCGGGAGGATATCAGAATTTTGGCGGCCAGTATCCTGGTGCCGGATTTGGTGGACCTCCTCCGAACGCTGGTCCTCAGTATCCTGGCGGGCAATATCCTGGGGGCCAATTCCCTGGCGGCCATCAATATTATGCCGGCGCGCAGTATCCAGGAGCAAACGCTGCTCCACCTCCACGGCCTCCTCCACCACGATCATCAGCACCACCTCCACCACCACCACCTCCTCCTCCCCCTCAACCAGAACCTCCGAGAGATAACCCCAAGCCTCAACGAGCACCCTCCCCTGCCCCGCCTCCTCCTAAGCCCGCGCCAAAGCCCGCACCCGAACCGGAAGCCAAACCTGAACCTGAGCCAGAGCCAGAGCCAGCACCGGAACCTAAGCCCAAACCTCAGCCTAGAGCTGAGCCGAAACCTCAACCAGAGGTTAGGCCAGAACCCGCATCAAAACCTGAGTCGAAGCCGGAGCCTAAGCCCGACCACAAACCCGAACCCGAACCCAGGCCCGAGCAAAAGCCCCAGCCGCCGCCAGAGCCAAAGCCGGAGCCAAAACAAGATACTCCCGCCCCTCCCCAGCCATCCAATACTGAGGCAAAACCTGCACAAGATAGGCAAAAGTCTGACTGGGAAAGAGCCAGGGAAGAAATGAGGCGAAAGGAAGAGATCCGCAGGAAGATGGAGGAGTTCCGAAAGAAACGAGCAGAGGACGAGAGACGTAAACAAGAGGAACAAGAGAGAATTGCGCGTGAAGAGCAACAACAGCGAGACAAGGAGGCAAGAGAGAAAAACTTTCGTGAATGGAAGGAAAAACGAGCAAAGGAACGCGCCGAGAAGGAGGCTGCTGAGAAGGAAGCGGCCGAAAAAGCGGCAAAGGAGAAAGCCAGACAAGAAGCGGCTGCGAGATTTGCTGCTGCGAGAGAGGCGGCTGCTGCAAAGCGCGCTGCTGAGAAAGCCGCCGCCGAGAAGCTTGCCGCAGAAAAGGAGGCCCAGCAAGCGGCAAAGGCGGCTGCTGCAGAGAAGGAGGCAGCTGCAAGAGCAGCGTCGCGGCCTCAGTCCGTTCAAACGCCAAAAGCAGAGCCCAAAGCGCCTTCGACACCGAGAGCACCGCATGCGAGTGCAAAGACCACCACGGATGACGATGCCTATTCGTTTCGCCCGTACGACCGCCCCCGACCCGGCGTCAATAAGCAGTCGTCTGCATCATCAGTGTTCTCAGAATCAACGTATGCGTCACAGACAACCGCAAGGACAACACCGCCGCCATCACGGAGAGGTCCGTATAGTACCAAGAACCCTGATAAGGTTGTTATCCACGGCGTATACTCATTCAACAACGCGTTTATGAGAACGCCAATAGCGCAGCTGGTATCAGGACAAGGCGTGGTCACAGATGGCTTGATCCTGCGCATCACGACCGAAGGCATGTTTGTCGACGACGACGTGAGAGGCGTCGCGCAGCGGGAATGGGACATCAAGGCATGGACGATGAAACTGGTAGAGGTATGGTGCCCCTTGCTTGGTGCAATTCCACCGCCACCCGCCCGCCCAAATGGCTCCAAGTTCAGTCCTTTCCGCCTCGGCACGTCGCACGCGTCCAAGAGTCCCAGCAGCGGGGATTCAGACGCGTATCTCGCAGCCTTGCTCAAGGCCTGCAAGAACCAGTGCCGGTTGGAAGCCAGTGGTGATGGTGGTGGTGCACGCTCTAGTGGGCACAGTGTTGACGCAAAACTCGTCGAGGAACAGACAGCCCAAGCGCCGCGAGGCCTCCACGTTGTCCGAGCCAGTCTGCGCGACCAGGAAGGCAAGCGATATGTGTTTGTTGTGCCGGAGACTGAAGCCTGGAAAGTCGCCGTTGGGCTTCAGCGACTGCGCAAAGGAAGCCAGGCCCGCGCGCTGGGAATATGCGGCTTACCGTTGAATGAGACACACTCGATCATCTCCAACTTGGGGTATTAGCAGAGCGGGCAGATGGCGATGAAGATGATGACAAGAGTGAGTTTTGTTTCTTGTCTGAAGAAGATGGTGAGCAGCTGAGTTCCCCGTTGCCCCCGGCGATGCAAGCAAGAATATCGTGAGAAGCAGGCGCTGCACCTCCTGTTCCCTCATCTTCACTTTTCACGCATGTCCTCTTCCTACACGGGTTTTGTGAGTTGGCGTCTAGTTTGGATCATTAGCGATGGAGTTCAGAGTGAGATGCACTGGAAGAGAGTCTCCTTGTTTGATACTTGAATATTCCCATCAGAAAAGAGTCATGTATGATATATTCTCCTAAAAAAAATTACAAACATCTGTTGACTTTTGCAAACAAAACAGTGATTATTCTTATGAAGGAGTATGTTACATCTTTATCTGCTGGCTAAACGACATTGGGCCAGCAATTCTCCAGCGATACAATTCCCAATTCCCAATTCCCAACTTTCACTCCCTCCGGATACCCAACACGCTTCCCCCCTTTCGAGCCCTACAGCTGGGGGCGCGCCGCTGCAGAAACGGGGGCTCTGCGATTTCACACACCTGGCTGAGGTCGTTCCACACAAGGCGGCGTCTGCCACGGAGGGGGCCTTTGGCGTCGGGCGGCAGGGACTGAGAAATCCCTTGAGACCAGTCGTATGAAGCAAGTGTCATTGCTAGCCAGGACCATGTTAGCCGCGTCTGATTCTAGGAGCTGGAGAGAAGGGCAAACCCACCGAGTATATAGAACGTATAGCTGTCTGTTCGGTTCGGGTCAGCAGGGAGTCGTAACAGTGCAGCATATAGATCCGACTTACCAGCATTGGACCCTGCCTTCTCGGGATAATGCCACCCAAGGTCCGTGATGCGAACCCATCCATACGCCGGCCGGTTATCGCGTCCTACTTCATCGTCTGATATCCATGGATTAGCCAAACACGGGAAACCGCTTTTGTACGCCGGATGCACCTACACAGCGGTTCACCCTCCATTATGACATCCGAGTGCGTTAACTCGTGAATCATCGAGCATGCAAGATTGCCGTCGCAGATGTCGTCCAGTGGCGTGTGGCCAGGCAACTGTCTTGACCGTAGCTCCCTTAGCGATATGGAATATGAAGGGTCTTCCCAAATGCGTGCGAAGGTGGAGGGACAGAAGACTAGCAAGTCGTGTCCTCCGTAGGTTGAATCCGGGACCCAAAGCTTATAGGCATACAAGTCACTATCTTCACACCTATGTCGCTGGTTCGCGTTTGTCTCGAAGATCACTTGTCCGCCCAGATGAGCAGGCCGATCGTCCCAAGCTTCCGGTTCGATGAGGTCGACTAAAGTCAGGTGGGTAAGCTGCATGGGTCAATCTCCAGGAATCAGGAGGGCATACTATTCATTTCTTCCGGCGCCTCTGCAAGTACCCAGTCTTCGGAGCATCTCAGCTCCACGAAAGAGGGTGCCTCGAATCCGCGGTCATACCTCCTGAGTGTATCTAGCCCGCTTTAGTGTCAACGGCAGACTACCTAGACTGGCAACTGACCCTGAATATGATGGACTATCGCAATTCCCCTTTCGCGCTCAGCAGGCTGGTCCGTGCCAAAGTACACCGGCCCGAAAATGGCTTCAAAAACCATCAGCGTCGAGCGGTCGAAGCCGAGAATCTCGTCCTCGGGGCCATAATCATCCTCAAGTATATATATCAGCCGCTCTGTGCGGTCTATCGCACGCATCAGCTGCCCTGGGAGTCAGTAAGAGCAGTGTTTTCGTCTAGACAAAAGACAAAAACTCACAGCATAATTTACAGCTCCATAGGCTGCGTCTAGCACATTTGTCTCCTCAGGACTGCAACCATATGGGCTCATTTCCAGACCACAGACCAGCGCCAAAAAATCAACCGCCAAAAATAGCCTAAAAGAGCTTAAAAACTTCATCGTGGCGGAAATATCAACGCGCTCTTCGACGAGTGCTTCGGGTTGACCAATCCATGTGGAAAACTCGCTTTATAGCATCTGCCATCCGCTGAGCACTCCCGGTGTCTCCTCGTGGCGGCATGGTTTTTTCCTGGACCTTGGAGATGTTTCACTGCCTCGCACTTCATCATGTCGTGCAAGCCGACCAGAATAAAGGAATGCGGGTATGTCATTTGCGACTGGAATCCCAAAAGGGAAGATGGTGACAGCGTCCGATCCCTGTGCTTAGCAGGGCAAGTTCACTCCTGATAGTCGTTGCGCTTGATGTCGCGCCATCGCAGATTACCTGTTTAAAGCACGAGGGCGCAATTTTGCCGCAATGGGTATCAACCGAAAAAATCTCATATCGCGATTCTCTGGTGGACACTAATGTTGTACGAGTGGACCTGCAGCCGTCAGAGCTCTCTGAAACGGCAAAATATGGGACGTTGCTGTCAATAGGGCTGGTTTCTATATATCCTCACGCCCTCGTGGTCTGCTCACTCTCAGATCAAGCAATAAGCTCCTGGTTGGAACTATGAGGTGTTTACTGCAGCTCACCATCCTTCTGTTGACCACTTCGAGCGCCGCTTTTACGCGGAGATGTTCCTCTGAGAAGAGGTGCAGCCAAGGGTGCTGCAGCAAGTCCGGATACTGTGGCTTTGGGCCCGACTTCTGCGATCCAGACGTTTGCCTTTCCTCCTGTGATGCCCAAGCGGAATGTGGAAGTACGTCTGTGACAGCTCATGACCGGCCAACATGTGCTTCTTTTCCTTGATAAGATGCCGCAGAATTTTTAACGTTTTCTAGAATATGCCCCTGAGGGAAAGGAGAAGTGCCCTCTCAACGTCTGCTGCTCCGAATGGGGGTGAGGCCATGCCTGCGGGCTCAGATCTTTGTCTTAAAGCATTTATGCTGAGTATCCTGGCTAGGTTCTGCGGCGTCTCTCCAGAGTTTTGCGGCGAGGGCTGCCAAAACGGATGCGACGCGGTTAAGAGGCCGTAAGTGCTTTACATTCATAGAACGCACACCATTTGTCCATCAGGAGCTGATTCCATATCTTTAGGTCTTGTTCCGGGAGTTCCGCATCCGGCCGCTATGTCGGTTACTTTGAAAGTTGGAGCTATCAGCGGCCATGCGACGAAATACATCCGTCGAAAATCAATGTTGAGCCATGGACGGTAGGTGCCGGCTTGCAGCCCTTCCTACAATGCTTTGAGGGCCGCCGTTGACGTATCAAGCATTTAAATTATGCGTTTGCCAAAATAAATCCAGACGATATGACGCTCGTCCCTGAAAGCGATATCGACCTAGGGCTTTTCAAAGCGTTCACCGGGCTTAAGAAGAGGAAACCATCACTCAAGACCTTTATCTCAGTTGGAGGATGGGATGCAGGCGGTAGAATCTTTACTACCATGGCACACCGTGCTTCTTACCGAAAGGCATTTATTAAATCGGCTGTTAAACTGATGGACAAGTATGGATTTGATGGTATTGATATAGATTGGGAGTATCCAGTTGCATGGGAGCGCGGTGAGCTTCGCTGATCCTACTCGTCTTTATTAGAGAATTGGCTATTAATCATCCTTGTTGAATAGGTGGCCTACCGGAGGATTTCGAAGACTACGTGACACTGTTACAGGACTGTAGGAGGGAATTTGGATCCAAGTACGGCCTGACTATTGCCATCCCGGCCTCGTATTGTTTGTATCCCCTGCTGTAGCAAGTCCCGATTCCTTCTAATGAGCCTTTAGGGTATTTGAAGGGATTTGACATTCAACGACTGGAAAGATATGTCGATTGGTTCAACTTCATGAGCTACGACATCCACGGTACTTGGGACGGACTCACTTCCTGGACGCCACAAGTCGTTAACCCGCACAGCAACCTCACAGGTATTGGTGCCCTGGGCTCATTCATACTCTTTTTCGTATTGATTCTGATATCTCGCAGAAATCGAAGCTGGCTTGGACCTACTATGGCGGAACGGCGTCGACCCGGGTGTCGTATCGTTGGGGCTTGGGTTTTATGGAAGATCTTTCACCCTGAAAGACCCTGGTTGTAACCAGCCAGGATGTGCGTTTATCAGGAGAGGCAGGGCCAGCGGTGGAGCCAAAGCCGGAGAGTGCACTGGACAAAGCGGAGTGTTGTCGAACTATGAAATCAACAGGATCCTGAAATCCAAATCACTGACCCCGGCAAGTGACCAAGAAGCGGCTGTGAAGTGGATTTCATGGGACAGCGACCAATGGTGCGTCTGTGATGCATCCGGTTGATATATAGACGTACAAGATAACCTGACTCCTCATAGGGTTTCGTATGACGACGCAGAAACATTGCGGCGAAAAGGCGAATTTGCAAACGCACGTTGCTTGGGAGGCACCTTTGCATGGGCCTTGGACCTCGGAGGGCCTGGGACTCTGGGCCGGCCTGAGACGCTCAACGGCAGCGACCTCGAAGGAGCAAACCCTGACGGAAGCGACAGTGGCTCTGGCGATGTCTTTATTTCGCCGAACATATTCACGGAGTCTGAGCCAAACATAGCTTGTGTTGCGCCATGCACTTTTATCTTACCGCCGATCCCATTAGGCTCTTCGACCACGATCAGTTTCCCTCCATATAGTACATCTCTAGAGGTAGCTTGGCCGACCACCATCACGATCACGCTGCCAGGGGGAGCAGTCTCGACCTCAACAGGTCTTGGGAGGACGATTCTGAACACGACCCTTACAATACCACCAGGTACATACCAGCGCAGAGGTCAGAGAGTAGCGCAAGACAGCTAACCAGGACAATAGTCACCACCACCGTGATCGAGGTATGGAACTGGATCCTCACAGACATAGAGGTTACTTCCACGTCGCATAAGATTACCTCGAGCATTCTCCCTCCACCATTCGTCATAACAGACAATCAGACTGTGATCACGGTTACCCGACCCGTTGAATCGACGTCGGGCACCACGAGTACAACGGATGTGGTGCCGCCCGTGACAGTTATCACCCGCCCGGTGACCACCAGGACCATCACTCCGCCGCCTTTTCCGTGGTGGAGCGTCAACCCAGTAGAGTCTCCACTTCCCACCCTCACGTACACCCAGGGGCCACCTAGTCCTCTGTGCGAGGGGGACGACTGCGGGAAGAAGTGTAAAAAGTTCTGCAAGGAACCTTGCCGCTATGACTGCAAAGACGGAGATGATTTTCTGGATCAAAACGACAGAGACCGGGATAGGGACGTTGAGCGGCGTCGTTGTGAGGGCCCTGACTGCTCAAATGGAGAATGTGCTGGGATATTCTGCGTTACTTTCGGGTGCATAGGCTTTGACTGTGTTGATGGCATCTGTCTTGGTCCGCTCTGTAAGATAACGACCTGCACAGGCTCGGACTGCCGAAAAGGACGATGTATCGGCCCGAAATGTAGGACGGGATCTGGATGTGCTGGAGACGACTGTTCGTCCAATGGAAGATGTATTGGCCCCAAATGCATCTCCTTTGGATGCATCGGCGCCGATTGCAAGCCTTGCTCCGGGTCGAGTTGTTCTGGGGGATGGGAATGCACGGGGCCGCGATGCAAAATCGTCACTTGCAAGGGAAGCAGCTGTCGGAACGGGCTGTGCTCAGGGTCCGGTTGCGAGCCAGGGAACGACGGATGCGACGAGGCGCAAACGGCTCGTCGCTGCACGGAAATGGTGAGCAAGGTCAGGCCGCCGAAAGAAACGACATATTCGACGACGACCAGCACCATCTGCTCCACGATCACGGCTTGCGATGCGCAGCCCACGACGGTGACGACCACATACTCGCGTGACGGGATCAAGACGCAACGACGAGAGGTCATCACATACAAAAAATATAAAGAAAACCCCGCCCAAGCAGCATGCATGAAAAAGGCGCTACAGATTCGTCGAGACAATCTAAGCAAACTCATGTTCGAGCCGCAGAACACACCGACGACGACGCGAAAGCGACCCGAGCCCACTGGTCCCGTCGAGCAGAAATATTCGTGCAAGGGATCCATCAGGTGCAAATCAGCCATCAAACTTGGGTCGGACTGCCAGATGGCAAAAGCAGCCTTGGTCGAAAACACACTCTATGGGTAAGTATGATACATGGCCTCTCACGGCACTCACTGACTGTTGCGCGCAGGAACACGCCGAGATGTGTTTCCGGAGGGACATGCTATGCTGCCCCTGAACGGTCTTTCATGGGCTGTGGAGTTATGGTTCAGGGCCCCGAGGGAAAATGCGAGCTGACGGGCAACCAAATAGCTGCGTGAGTGACCCCAGAGTCATACTGTCCGGGTTGTCATTTTGAAAGAATGCAGGCGTGCTAACAGATGGTTTTCTCTCTCCAACAGCGCCATGGATCATCTTCATCATAACGAGGGCAAATGTAAGAGATGCGGAGTGGTCACTTTCTCGAATGGCTGCAAAGTCGTCGTGAATTATGTTTCGAATTGCCAGCACAGCAACAGTTTCGCCCTTGAGCCTGACACGCCGGAGCTGGATGCAGCTTCGGATTGAGGAGAGCCAGACGGAAGAGCAGTGCGATACCCTTGTAAGAATAGTGTCGAATCTATAGTAGTTAAGGTGTATATAAAATGAGCGCCATGCAAGCAGCGTAGCCAACGGTTCATCTTTTACCGCTGTGATTGAGTCCAAGCTGCGATGCGAGCTCGCCTGTTGATGAAATGGTGCTGCCTGGCGCATCAACACGCAAGCATCACTCCACCCGCTCCGCCCAGTTCAGGCCTTTGTACAGGGAGAGGAATTCGGCTGCCTGATGCCCATCGTCGTCTTCCAGCTGCGTCGTCATCAGGAGTTCAGCGATTCATGTTCGGCTGGTCCATGCTGTGATCGCTTGCTGCTGTTTGCTCATCTTTGAGAATCCGATTTTTTGGCGCCGGGACAGAGAACGGCGGGTCTTTTCTGGCTGGGATCAAGAACAGCACGCTGGGATCTTGAAACATCGGAACTGCGCCGTCATCGAGGTATGTTGCGATCTGGATGTTCATATATATAGCCGTCCATCTGGTTCCCTTTTGAATCGTGTCTGGAAGATGGATCATGTTCATTGCTCTGGACAATCCGGATTTTCTTTTCTCTGCCCACAATGTCCCTTTCGCCCCTGACGATGTCTATTCTCTCCATGTTGATGCAGCCCAAACCCGCGTTGACAAACCCAGGCATCACCTCTGCGCTGATTAGCCACGGCTCCCCGAATGAAAAGTACACATCGGACAAGAAAATCGAATTGAAATAGCCTGCGAGACCATGGTGCGAACCGCATCTCCCGACGTGCCTGATGACGGGCATGGCGACAATATTCCGGTCTCGCCTGGCATCTCGGAATCAGCTACCAGCGCAAGCGAGACGCTGTATACCCCTTCTGTATCTGAGAGCCAGCGTAGCACTCAAAAGGACCTAGATGAGTGCGACAGTGCTTCGGAGACCGACGTTCTGCTTGTATCGCCTCCCCCGGAATACGAAGACGTGGTCCCTGGCACTGGGAATGCTACTGTCGATGTGAAATCCGACAGGGGAAGCTTCCCGCAGCCTGGCGACGGGCATCGCGATGCTGAAGCAGGAGGTCGCAGGGCACGCAGGCGAGGGTGGTGTGGGAAACGGAGGGATCGCGACCGGCAGCGATGCCAGATGACCAAGTGGAAGCTGTTTGTCGGAATCGTCAAATTCTGCTTGCTCATCGGCCTGGTGGGTTGGGCGTGCAGGGCCTTTTTCCATGCAACAGTGAGATCTCCCTTTGCAATATACGATGTTTCTCTAGCATTAACACCTGCTAGTATCCCCGGAACCGTGCAGAGGAGAATGACTCTCCGCCACGAGAGATTGAAATCCACAAGAAATCGGGCGCCATCTGGGGGGAATATCCTCTCTACGACCTCCTCGCCCTGACCACCAGCTCAGGCTCGATAGCGGTCACCATCATCCCCCAGCCAGCCGACCCACGAGCCCCCAGCAAGCCCGCCCGAGTATTCCTCCGCTCCAGGTCCGGCAGCATCTCCGTCAAGTTCCAGCTCCCAGCGCCCGGCAGTCGAGACGCAGACACACACGCACACGACAAACCCCCAGCCCTGCACCCGCGGCCGTACGAGGTCGAAATCGCAACTCACAGCGGCAGCATCGCCGCCAGCATCGCCTTCTCCACCAGCGTCAAGCTCTCCTCCACCAGCGGAGCGATCGACGCGCACCTCACGCCCCTCGTCTTCCCGGGCGCCGCGTTCCTCGACACGCACAGCGACAACATCTCCATCACCACCGTCACCCGCTCCGGCAGCGCCAACGTCGTGCTCAACGACCCGCTCATCTACCCTCGGCTAGCACCCTCCGGCCGGCAAACGCGCGCGCAGCATCGCGGACCCGGCGCCATCGCCGTGCATGAGGCGAGGGGCTCCGGGTCGCTGCGTGTTCGGTATCCTCCGTCGTGGGCCGGGCGTGTTCATGCCGCGAGCATCAGGGCGAATCGGGTCAGCCTCGGCGGGAAGGGGGTTCGTGTCGTTGGAAGAGGGAGCAGGGCTGTGGATGGCGTCAAGGAGCCTGACGCGGAGCTGCCGCGGCAAAAGCAGTGGTGGGGGAGTCGGGGGGATATGCATGTTGATTTGAGGGCGAGGACGGGCGCGGTGATGTTTCGCGTTGGCGATGATTGAATATGGATCCTCTTTGCTTCCCAGTGAGGAGCGTATGATTTGATGATCTTGGGATATTATTGAGTCTCTGGAGATATCGCTCCTGTTTTGACATGTCGGATAATGTATTGCAAATGAGACATTGATGTATTATCTCCTATTCCAATCTCTCGAAGAATAATCTCTACTGGATTCTAACCGCATACTCTCCCCTATCTCGGAGCTCACATTTCAAATCTGTATAAAAACAACATCGAGAGAAAATAAGACCGGAGAACCAGGATACCATCTCCCCCGCCAGGCCAGGGGAGCTAATAGCCCAAAGCTGTTTCGAGATGGGAAAGGAGAAAAAGAAAAAAAAAGACATGGGATCAAAATGGCAGACGGTACTCCTTTTAGCTCTATTTTGCTGGACGTGTGCTCGTGCTCCTTGTATGCGCACCAAACCGAACACAGATGGGGATAAATGCTTGGGGGGACAAAATGCATATGCCATGGCAAAGCAACAGATCGCTCAAGGACGAGGAACAACGGGGGAGGGTTAGGGAAGGCAGTGATGGGAAGCCAAAGGGTCATGGCGGCAAGAGGATTTTTTGCACAGGTATGAAGGAAGTCTAAAGGGTATCATAATTTGGATTTGAATCACCATCCCCTTTTCTTCGACTTTTTTGTTTTTTCTGCTTTGTTTTTTAAATTTCGGCGGGCATCCCGGCTTTTTACCAGCCGCCGTGGTGGCGGCCTTCAAACGGGTTGCTGGTAGCGTGCGCGAAGCCGCCGGTTCCGCCGTTCATCATATTGAAAATGATGTTTGGATCGATGTGGATGTTCTGGCCTCCCATGCCACCCATGCCTCCCATACCTCCCATTCCGCCCATGCCGAAGCCTTGAGTGAACATGTCGTTGGGGTCCATCAGGTCATCGCCATTGTCGTAACTGGCCCGTTTCCTATTGATTCGTTTGTTAGCACTCCGGTTTTATACGCGACAGCAGAGTGTCAACATACTGTGGATCACTCAAAATCTCATACGCCTCCCCAATCTCCTTGAACAGCTCATCGCTCTGGTCCCCATCGCGGTTTTTATCAGGGTGGTGCTGGATAGCAAGTTTCCGATACGCCTTCTTGATCTCCTGCTCGGTAGCCGTCTTTTCCACACCGAGAATCTTGTAGTAGTCCTTCCTCTGGCTCTTCTTCAGCTCCCACTCGGCATTGCGAAGCTCCTCCTGGAGCCCCTTTTCGCCCGGGTGGCTCTCGCCAATGGCCTTGAGCTCGTTTACCGCCTTTTCCCAGTCACCCTTGGTGCCGTACGTTTTCGCTCGCACGCGCTTCGCCTTGACATAGGTGGGATCGAGCTCCAGGGCCTTGGTGCAGTCTTCAATGGCCTTGTCGTATTCGTTGATGTTGTAGCGGGCCTGGGCGCGGTTCTGAAGGATCTTGGAGTTGATATCTTTGTTGGTCGGGTCGACCTCCAGGCCGGCAGTGTATTTAGCGATAGCTTCCCGGTATCGCCGGGCTTTGAACGCGGTGTTTCCCTCGTCTTTAATTCGCAGCAGCTTCTGCACCATGCGCAGGTACTTGACGGCCTGGGTCGAGTCCGGGTCGAGGCTGAGCACGCGCTTGAAGTGTTTGATGGCCTGGTCGGCGTCGCCTTGGAGGTAGAACAATCGGCCCCGTAGGAACAGGGCGTCGGGGTCCTGGCTGTTTTCCCGCAGCAGGGACATGGCGATGTTCTGGGCGTCTCCCAGGGCGTTGACGTTGCCCATCTTTAGGTATGCCTCGATGCGCATCAGGAGCCATGCGCGGGGCTGTGTCATGGCGGCTCCCAGGCCCCGGACTGCTTGGTCGAGGGAATACAGCACCATTGAGCCGCCGCCGTTGACCTGCTTCAGCGTCTGCTCGGCCTGGGTGACGTGGTGCAGCATGGATTCCGCGGGGGCCTTGTCCTTTGCAGAGGCCGGAGGCTGAATCCGGGCGTACACGCTCAGGGCCTCCGCGGGGCGGCCGAGCGCGGTGTAGATGCGTGCCAATCGATGCATGATCTTTGCGTTTCCAGGTTCGATCTCGTCGGCCCGCTTGCAGTCCTCCAAGGCCTCGAGGTACCGGTTCGCAGAGATGTAGGCGGCGGCTCGATTGGACAGGTACGTTGACGACCCTGGCTGTGCGTCCACGGCTGGACAGATGGAAGAGAGAGAAGTCAGTCATTCTTTCTGTTGACCTGAAAAAGAAAAATCTCTTCTACCCACCTTTTGTATACTCCAAGATGGCTCGCGAGTAATCCCCCGCCTTGAAGAATTTGTTCCCCGCGAGCTTGCAGGCCTCCGCATCGACAACAGGCACGGGCGGCGGCGTGACGATATGCGGCGGCGGGGTCGGGCTGCGTTCAGGCCTGGGACTGCTCTCGCGCTCGCCGTCGACCTTGCCGCCGTTGGGCAGCTCGGTCGCGGGCACGGGCACGGGCACAGGCACGGATGGCGGGTGAGCGGGTGTGACAAGCGAGGATGGCGAGGCGGGCGAGTCGGACTCGAGGTCGAGCGAGCGGCGGGCGTCGTCTCTGGCAGCCGCCATGGCCGAAAGGCGTCGAAGCTCGTCGGGAGGCAGATTGAGCGGGTGGTCGTAGGCAACGGGAGCGCTGCGCTTGGGTTTGCGGGCTGCTGGGCTGGACGGCGGCGAGTAGGGCGGCGGGCGGGAGGGATCGAGGACGTGGTGCAGATGGTCTGGGATGGACGGGCTGTCCTTTTTCTTGTGCTTCTTCTTCTTCTTGTCGGGGGATTTGGCGAAGAGTTTGGGGAGAACCATGGGGAAGAGAGTGAGAACGCAGGAAAATTCTGTCTGTCTGGATGGACTGGAGCAACGCAAGATGCAAGCAGAGCGAGCAGACAGCAATCGAGCAACTAAACAGCCAGCTTCATCTGCAGAAAAAAGAAAACACAGCCCAGCAGGCATCTGATGCGGCTGGTGCAATAGAAGCTCTGCTCGATTCCACCGGCTTCTGCCTGCATCTCCCTGCAGGTGGCTGGTCTGCAGTTCTACAACAATAGTTATATAGCAATAATATCTACAACTGATCATAACTACACTGCTAAGGAATAATCGACCGCGAGTTCTCCTTTGATCCCGCCGCTTCTGACTTGTGATACGCCTCTGGCCGCTCGTCGCCGTCGCGCGGCCGCTTGAGCGACTCGTCCGGCTTGTAGTGGTTGTGACACTGCGACGTTAACTAGTTAGTATATCACTACAAATACAGCTAATATAAATGCGTGTATGCTCACCTTGTACGCATGGCGGAACCACGTCGTGCCCTTCTTCTTGCTCGTCACCAGTCCTACCCACTGCCCGCAGTTCCCACACAGGCCCTCCCAGATGTTCGCGCTGCCCTCGGTGCGCCGGATCTCCTTGGGCGCCGCAAACGCCTGCCCCGTCACCGCGCTGATGCCGTGCGTGAAGCTCTTGTCGTACCAGAACGCCGAGTTCTTCAGCACCAGCCACCGCCCCGGCTTGCAGATCCCGCACCAGCCCTCGCGCTTGTTGCCGTGCCCGCGCACCCACTTGGGCGTGTACAGGTCGTGCTCGAACCGCAGGTCCTGCTCGTGCGGCACCATCGTCGGGTCCGCCGGCACCATGTCCTCGCGCGGCGGCGACAGCGGCCGGTCCTTTAGCGGGCCCAGCAGGTCCGGCGGCTCCGCGAACCCCGAGTAGTCCTCAAAGTACGTCTGGTCCGGGTCCAGGTCGCTGCGCAGCGTGCGCGGGATCCGCTGCGACGCGATCGGGTCGGGCACCATGAACCGCTGGCCAAACGGATCGGGGGTGGTGAACGCGGAATGCAAAAACAAACTCCCTGCCGGGTGGCCGCCCGCGGGGACCAGTGGCGGCGGGAACACATGGCTGCCGTGGATCTGCGGAGACGTGAATGCGGACGCGTTGACCGGCTTTCGGCCAGCGAAAGGGGGCGCGTACGACGCAAACGAGCCGGCGGAGCCGTTGGACAGTCGACGCCGGCCCACGTCCAGCGAATACGGACTCGACTGCGGCCGGGGGCGCGGCGACGACGTTGTTCGCGGCCGGTTGCCAAACCGCGCAATGTCGGAGTGGCGCCTGGGAGAAGGCACCGGAGACAGCGGCGTCGAGGCAAAGTACAGCGTGCTCTGGGGCGTGAAGCTCGAGCACGACGACGGGGCGTCCGAGTACGCGGAGAAGTTGAAGTCCAGGGACGGCGTGCTGCTGGAGAAGGAGTATGGCGAGAAGGAGAAGGGAGGCGGCACGTTGGTGTTGAGCGTCAGTTGCTGCTGCTGCTGCTGCGGCCGCTGCTCCGCCAGCCGGGGCTTCTTGCGGACGCTGGCCTCCTGGTCGGTGTCGTCTGTCAAGAGCCCCAGCGAGTCAGCGAACGCGTTTGGATCTGGCTCGTTGATGACGAGGCTCGACTGCATCAGCAGAGACAGTCTCTCGTAGACATCTGCCCGCGCATCAGCCATGGGCCTGTTGTTGATCACAGGGCTCTCTGCCAACTCACCTGGGTGCTGCAGCGTCGGAGGCACCAGGGCATCCGGCGGCACGGAGTAGCTCTGCGGGCTCCACGTCGGATCCTTTGCATCGCCGTCTGCAATGGGCAGCGAGTAGACGTTCTGATACACCGGCCGCGGTCGTTCCGCGTCCTGCGAGGCGCCCCGTCCCGGTGCCAGAGCACCCCGTTGGGGATCCAGCCCGTCTGCAGTCGCGGCGCTGGCGTCCACCGCGTCGTCGTCGTCGGTGCAGGCGCCCGTCTTCCTGCCCCAGCACGGCGGTAGAAATCGGATTGGCGAAAGCGTCGAGGGCCAGAGGTCTCTGCCAGCAGGGTCAGCAGCATTCACCAGCGATGGAATGGGGGGATATCTCTTACTCTTGTGGCATCTGCTTGGACGAGATCAGCTGCCCGTTGGCCACGGCGTCGAAGCCTGGGTTCCTGCGTCGCGGCACGGAATCCATCAGGCAAAGGAATGGCTCCAGAGGGAGCAGAGAGGGCAAGGAGGGTATACGGTTGAGATGGAGTGAGAGACACAGCCACAGGGCTCCAAAAGAGTGAATAGACGGAGAGTCTGCAAGTTCAGGATAATGATAGTTGATAAAACGAGTGTTCTTATTCGATAGCAGCGCCAGTTCAGATAGTTATGTTCAAAGCGAGCGACTGCGTAGTAGTAATCTTATAGCAGAGGTGAAGGACAGGAAGAAACAAAATAAATACAGATTCCCAGCGAGCGAGGGCCCTCCATCCGCCTACATGCCAGCGCAGAAACAGACCTCGGCGGTTATAACAAAAAAAAAAAAAAAGCCAGCACACGAAAAGGAAGAAAAAGGGGGCCAGGCCGACGGAGAGCCTGGAGGCGGCTAACGAGCAGGGCGAGACGGACAACAGTCTCATTGCTCAGCATCTGGCGCCTTTACGTCAGGGCATGAATGATTTCTCATGCTTTTCAAACCGTTTGGCGCCGTGGCCCTCTGCTTTCTCACAGAGGGGTGGCATACAGGATTTGCCGCCAGTGCAAGCCACTCACGAACGGGCGTCGAAGCGCCCCCCGGCCGTGACTCTCTTTCTTTTTCTTTTTTTGGGCAAAGGGGGGGGGCCGGAGCAGCGCGATCTATATGCGAAACGCACAGCGCGTCAGTCGCACGGAAGCAGGTTGCGCACATCCCCCTGGAAACTCGCATTGAGATGAACGGCCGCCCGAAGCAGCCAGCTGAGACGGCGCCCAAACCGACTTGACGCCGCATCCGCCCAGGGCCTCTGCTCGCCGCGGGTTTAGCGCGCACCGCTGCTCGTCTGGGCGTGCTGCATGCGGCACGGCCGGCCCTGCGCCGTGGCGGTTTGGGCGGTGCGATACAAGAGCGGGTTACAGATTATCGCAGCTGATGAACTGATCCAGCGGACCGAGAAATGGCCGTCGACAAGATCGGTGTGATACAACTACAGATCAGAGCTAGAAGAGTCGCAAACGCAAGCTTGCTATTTGTTTTCTATTTAGACTAGCTACTACGAGCCAAAGGGCTATTACTCGAAAAGAACAGCGCTGGATATAACCTGAGAGAATATACCAGTCCGTTGGCCACAGGTAATATATCACCCAGAGAGCTCGGCTAGAAACAAGTCGGTAATGACTGTGATGGGGGCCCCTGGATTCAGTCTACAGGATTCCTTTTCTTTTTTTTGTTTTCTTCGGCCTTTCCCGGTAGAAGATGGAATTTCCAGGACGGTTCCAAGGGCTTTTTCCAAGGCAAACCAAAAGAAAGAACGAGGAGCGCCCCGGGTAAGAATAAGAATATGTAAATCGAAAGTCAGGCTCGACATTCGACAGATAAAAGAAACAAGGGAAGAAAAGGAGTTGCAGTGCAACTCTTCAACGATATCAGAATCTCCGACCAATTCTGACACTGGAACTTTCCATCTTGCTCAATCGCACACAAGACGGGAAACGATTCAGCATGGTCTTGGGTTATCCGCCACATGTTGAAATTCACAGCAGATCAGACTGGCGTCTGCCGTGCATCGCTTTGGCAGCCGCCTTTTTGGCTTCGTTCATCATCGGCTTCATCGCAGTCGCAGGCGCGGCTCGCTTGAACATGCTGAGCTCCTCCATGATGCCCTCGAGCTCCTTCTCCACGGCGCTTTGCTCCAGCGTCCTCGCCCGGTTGACGATCGCCTTGTAGTCCCGGGTGATGCACCTGTGGACATCCTCGAGGCCCTTGCCCGCCTTGACCCGCGTGTCTTGAACCGCTTTTCTCATCAGTGATCTGATATCGTGCGTGGCATCGACAAACAGCGTGTCCTTTTTGCTATTCACTTGGTTCGTCATGATTCCTTTCATTTGCTGGAACACGCCGTGTCCTGTGAATGAATGCAAACGAATTAGTGAAAAATCTCTTCTCGTCTAGCACTGCCAGCATCAACTGCCTACTTACCTCCGCTTTTACCGGCCTGAGTGTATGCTCCTTCCAACGATTCTCGAATATTCGGCTCGATATTGCGGCTCACATTCTTCTGCTCTTGTTTCATCAGTCTTCTCAGGGACGCGTGCATGTGGCCCAGCGAGTTCTGGTAGCTGGTCAATTGCGAGCGCAGTTTGCGCACAAGCGGTTCGTTCTCCGAGATGGACACGAGGTGCTTCTCTACATCCTTGCTGAATTTTGTTGTAAGCTCGCGACAGGCATCGATGAAAGCACCAAGGACCGCCGGCACTTCGTTTGAAAAGGTCCTAATTGTGCGTTTAGTATCCAGTACCCGAAAACTTTTGTTTTACTTACCTTTCCCAGTGGACCGTCAGGTTGACAAGCATAGGTTTGGCCCTGATATTGTCAGTCTCGATCTACCAACGTCGGCGGATATTTGTTCTTACAATTGCCCGTTCCAGTCCTGCTCGCGACCAGTTTCGTTAGCACACACAGCGTCAGAATTCGCAGCACAGTTCAGGAAACGACATACATATGACCCGGCTCTACCATCATACACGCCTTTGCGCCGGCAGATAGCTCTATACGTGTTCCACGCGATTTCACCTCCATTCCAGCCTTCCAGGACATCAGTTACTTGGGCTTCCGCACGAGACGCGGCCACATCTAAAAGGAAAAGTCAGGTCTCAGCTATGCAGGACGCTCCGATAGGGCGTACCGAATTTATTATAGATGGATGCTTGAATGGTCTTCTCAAGCTTCGAGAGCATGGTCTTGGTCTCCGTCTCATAATCCTATCAGAATAAAGGGTCAGCATAAAGGAGCGGCAAGTTACTTGGAGAAGGGGCCTTGTACCGTTTGGAGCTCCTTTAGTTTTGACGAGAGATATTTTTTGTCGTTTTCCCTGGCAGTCTCTAGAGGCAAAGGGTGTGTGTTTGACAAACTGATGCTGAGAGAGTTTATCAACCGCTCGAGATGGTTCAAAAACACCAGGCAATCCTTGCGGCGAGACGGAATGGTAGACTGGATGCAATGGGCGCGAAGTTTCGGCACTTCAGTCGCTTCAAGGGATCCAAAGCCGTCCACCTCCCCGTCGTTTCCCATCCTACCGAAGAGCCGTTGATAGCTCCTTGCCGACACGCAAAAAACCGGGAGGGAATTAGCCAGACCACTATAATCGCGAATTGGAGCAGGACCGCCGGTTTCTGGTATATCCGCAAGATCCATATCCCTCAGGCCCTCTGCAAAGTCTTGCTTGATGGTAAGCTTCACCTGATCATTCCTTGCGACAACACAACGACACTTGAACTCGGCGATCAAGTCTCTCAGGCTCTGCTCCTTGGCCTTGATCTGCGCATTGATATCCTTGATTTCTTGGTCCAGCGCCTTTTTCTGGCCGTTCAGTTGCTTCCTCATCGCGTTTGCGTTTTGCAGTTTGGTGGCATCATCTTCTCCTTCTTCCTCGTCCGCCTGAAAAACTTGTTGAGCATATGGATGAGTCGCGCTACCGACAGGGCCTTCTTGCAGGTTGGGCCGATCGCCAGAGGTTTGCGTGTTTGTTCTAACCAATGCAATAGTTCTTGCCAGGTCGTCGATCTCGAAATCAATTGCCTCGATGGTCTCATCGAGCTCGTCCTTTTCCTCCGCGATTGCGTCTTTTTCTTCGCGCAAGGACGCGATCATTGCTGCGGTTTGCTCCTTGACAAGGTGGATTTCATCCCTTTGGCTGGCAAGTTCAGCTGTCTGTGCAGCCTCGGTGAAAGAGATGTCGTCGGCCTTTGTGCAGATAAATGTGATATAATCATAAGTGCCATCCATCCGCAGCTGTCGCTTGAAGGATTCGCCCAAAAGGTCCCTGGCGGTCTTGTTGTCGACGGCACGCACGATGGGCGCGAGGATCCAGATACAGGAGCATTCCTTCAAGTACCTTTTCGCTACTTCTGCTCTCGCGGGGTTCGCGTCCTTGACTCCTGGCAAATCTGCAATCACGGCACCGGTTTCAAGCATGGGCGCCTTGACGTACACGCGAACGACGCGGATCAGGGGCCAGTACTCGATATCACCGGCACCCTGCGCGCGTTTGTCCTTTGAATCAACGTATTTTTGCAAGAGATGGTAAAAGCACAGTGAGTTATCGTGCGAGAATCTGATCGTCTGCCCAAGCACATCGCCAACGTTTGGGTGCCGCACAAGCTGGTCCACTGAGTAGTTGGGGATATCCGCAGGCTCGATGCCGTAAACCGCTTTGATCATCGCGCACGCGATGGCATACGTGTCGTCGCCGCGCTTGCCCGCGGCCGCGGTGCTTGTCCCATCCTCGATATCGCCAAACAGGACCTCCAGGTACTTGGCCCAGTCGTCGGCGGTGATAAACTCCACCTCAGCCCGGTAGCGGTGCGCGTCGTGGTTATAGCTGATTTCGACCACGGTGGCCGTGGAAGCGCGCATGCCATTTATCGGCACGATCCGTTCTTCGTCCAGCAGCGCGTTGATGAGAGATGACTTGCCCGCGCCAGTTTCGCCGACGATGCCGATGACGTGCCTTTGGTTGAGCTTTGCTTTCTTCTCGATTTTCTGAATGTCCTCGAGCCAGTTGTTTGCTTCGACCGTTGGGTACTTGGCTAAGACTGCCTTCAGCTTTCGCAGGTAATACAGGCCTTCCTTGACGCCGATCTCGAGATTGGCCATTGTTTTGTTTCCGTGCACGTAGTGAGGGTGAGTGCTGGGGCTCCAGTGCAGATGCGGTGATGATAGCTGGCCAACACCCTCTGCGTTGTTGTCTCCAGACTTGATGCCAGCCAACACGCTTGGGTTTGTGAATCCTGGCGGTGGCGGCAAAGTGGACTGTGGTGAAAACAGTGACAGCCCGGCAGCTGGTCGTCCTGGCGATGGGTTAGAGACCCCACGCCTCTGACGGCGTTGACGAGATGCCATTGTCCTGCAGCAGATCAGCAAACGATTGCTAAACTAGACAGGGGCTTTTGAGAACAAACAGCTTTGATCACAAGGGGATACAGGCAAAAAAATATGATCACCAACAGTTACCCAATCTTCATCTCAAGAGAGAACATGCAACGATGGGAGGGATGGGGAGATGTTAAGAACAGAACGGAGGGGAGCTCCAAACAGCTCCCCATTTTTATACTGGTTAACGCGTTGGTAAACAATGCTAGCGCGACTCCCAGGCACCAGGAGCGCGTTGCCTGGCACAACAGAGCACCAAAGAGAGCACGGAATATACCGATCACGTGTGTGATATCAGAACCGGAGAGGAAGACTGGTGCTGGCTGTGCAGGAGTGGATGAGCATAGATATCACCTGGGGGGATATGCTAGGGCAATGTCTTGGGCATCAGAGCTGATAGAACAGGATGGAAGACGGGGGATGGAAGTAGAGATCCAGCTCCAGATTTTTATATTGCTATCATACAAGTACATCCTCATCTTCTGCAAGCTGCTGCTGATGATCCTCCTCATTTGACACTTATCCTCAGTTACCATACCATTCTCGGAGAGGAAGAAGTGCCTTTTAACATCCGCCTTTGAACAGGGCCGGCAAGACCGCGCGGGTGGTCTTGCGACGTGGCCAGCTCTGTACGAGCGTGAGATGCGGTGACATGCCTATAGCCTGATTAGCAAGTTTACTCTGGAGGATTGCTGTCACCCGTACCCTACTGACATGCTCAAAGTGTTCAGCCAGATGCAGGCCATCCAAGCCGCATGTCAAGTAATGTAGCTTAACAATATGTCCCCCTTTCGTCGGGATTAAGATCGGCGGTTGTGATTTCTTTCTTGTATGCAGATATGTTAAAACAAAAGCAGCCGGCTGCGGCTTCAGTCCGTCGACGTGGATTGTCCAATTCGCCGTGCGACCAGCATCCACTGCCCATCGGAACTAGTCCTTCTGCCGACATCGTCAGCGTGCCTGATAGGGTCGTATTCTGGGAGCGCCTGGTCATGGTTGATGCAGTTGTAGATGTTGCTGAGCGGGTAATGTCCCGGTAGCTGTGCAAAGAGCAGATCCTCTTCGGCATAGGTCATGGCAGACTCCGAGCTCGAAGTGGACATTGGCACCGACAGACGGCGTTCGTTCCAGGGAGAGTTGCTGAGCGTGCCGTCGTTGCGGGCAAACAGCCAGATTTCCTGCTCCGCGTCCCAGACGAGCGTCCCGCCAGTCCTTGCAGGTCGAGGAGCAGCTTTGTTCGGGACAGTCGACACGCCCTCGTCCCTGCGTGCGCCGTCGCTCTTTGACCGCTTCAAGCGAGCCCAGAAGCCCCGGCGACGGGTGGAGCGGGATTCAGCGTCGTTGACATCGTGGTCGAGACTCGAGCTGCCATCGAATTTGGCGCTATCAAAAATCACCCTGGAAGGGTCGTGCGGCACAAGATGCTGGGTGACGGAGCGCGGAGTGCTGTACCCTCCTCCCTCCCATGCCTGAATCCGAGGTTGCCGAGTATGATTCATTTTGGCTCGTTGGGAAAGCTGTTTCTTCAACCAAAAAAGCTCAAGATGCTCGATATCAGGCCCTTTTAAAAGATCCAGTGTAGGATTTCCCGCGCCTCCCAATGCAGAATAATATGCGAAACAACAGTTGGCACCGCAAGGCGGGAGCCAACAACAATAATAACTAACAGAGCAAATCAGCCCTTCAGCAACCAGCAACCGAAGCTGCAGCACGCCCAATCCCAAAGCGAGATGCAGAGATTCAACAGGACGAGGACGAGCAAATCCCACTAATGAGAGGACGATGGCTTTCGTATTCCCCACGAAAGTTCCCGAGACGGCAAATGTTCAAAATTATCTGGCGTCCGTGACCAGCACATTGGGCCAAACCGCCAGGCCCGCGCTAACCACGGCCTGGAGGCGTGTTTTGGCCACCGGTCACTATCACGCAAGCCAACGCGGAATCAAAGGGCACAGCGCGGTTGGGGCTGGGACACCCATGGCTGAGAGGTGCGCAGCTGTTGGCTCTCTCTGCCCTGCCGGTGTTGGACACTGTCTGCCATCTTGTCCTCTGGAACAGAACACACACGGCAGGACGAGGGGTGACCGGTGATGAAGCAGCGCCTAGGCATGATGGAGGCCATCGACCTGGCCAATCCCAGGTGGAGCGCTGTCGTATTCTGCTCGATTGTTCCGTGTCATTTGGCAGCGATCGAAGCGCGGCAAGGAAATTTCCAGCTTCGTATCTGGACCAGAAGATGGAAAAGGACGCCGTTGGGGGATGTGGCCCAAGAGCGCCACCTGGACAAGAAGCAATATGTTACGGATGAGCAGGGACTGGGTATAAATAGAAACCCGTGCTAATCGAGCATCCCTGCGCAGGACATTTCGATCAAATCCTTCACTGCATCACGCCGTGAGGGCTCGTTGGCCATGCTGCTCCGTACTCGGTTGACTTGCGGTGTTCTATCAGGCCAGCAATGAACTAATTAACTAGCTGTCTTCTTCTGGCCAAAATAATCGAGAATGAGTCCTATAACTTGCCCTTCCCCAGGATCACACTCTCGGGCTCGTGGATGAAACGACACCGCGATTTCCGCAAACCCAGAACCATGTCCCCAGGACCACCCGGCACGAGAATAGAAAGCCCTTTGCTCGCCACCGCTATCGCACGGCGTTGGGAGATCCCCTTCTCAGAACCAGCGTTTTCACGCTCTTCAAGCTGAGGACATTCTCTTCCGAGCATGTTCCTCGAGCGAAACAATTGATAATAATAGCATCAGCTCCAAGCCAGCTGAAGCGAGTTTGCCACAAGTAGCGGCTGTTTCCGACTCTTCTGTCCAGCTGGGCTTGTCGAGCTTCATCTGGCGTGAGCGCGTGCGTTGGATTCGCTGCCTGCAGCATCGGCTGGGCCAGTTTGATATCCGCGCTATCATTACATCAAGCACAATTGACTAGGAATACCGACGCGGCAAAGCTGACACGCAGCTGCTAATTGAGACTACAACCCTTAAAACTGGCAAAAGGAACGCTTTTTCCCCGTATTCCCCATGCGTTCCATTGCCCTTTCAGAGCGTACCACTTATTGCTCCAAGTCACATCAAATTCAAGCACGAAGGACAGTGAAGGAAGAATGAAAGCGCAATCTGCGCAAGAGAGAGCAACGATGTCAGGCGAAAACAGCAGGGGAAGCTCCCATAGAGCGCTATCTCTTGCCTTGGGCAAAGATACGCATGCTCTCGTTCGCTATGCTCAATCGTCATTGGAAAACGGCCATAAATCAGAAGTACGATTCACTCGTATCCATGAGTTGATTATCTACATCAGCCCTTCTTACACGAAAGAAAGCAATTTCGACAGTAGCCCGTCATCCCCCTCACGCGTGACATCTGCTATGGAAACATCTCCTAAAACAAGGCCTCTTAATTCCTCCCTACTCACAGTCAGCGTCAGACCAGACGGAGCATTAAATTTCGACTCCTCAGAAAGACACCGATATGTCAACGCTCCATTGCTCAAATTGACGCGCCAGCGCTCTTTATTCCTTGGGATGTGGATTTCAATCGCAAAACGCTCGTTTGCGGCCTTGAGGCCATCAAGGCGAATGGACAGCACGCCCAGTAGCTCCTCTACTGCCGCTGGTAGGCCGAATCCCGCCATGGGAGCTGCCTTGTTGCCCTCCTCCTGTCGAAGGTTCTGCGCCTCCGTGAGGTAGAAATTACGCCATGTGCCGTTCTCCGCGCCGAAACCGAGTGTTTCGTAAACACCTGCGAGAGCCAGCTTTGCCTCTCGATGGGTACGGTCTGCGGCGACGGCGTGGTCGAGGATAGTCGCAGCGAAGCGGAGGTCTCCCTCTGCCGCGTATTCCTGGGCTTTTGCAATCACGCTCTGGGTTCCACCCATGCATTCAACATATCGTTTTCCTTCTTCGGCAGGGGGATGTTGCCATAGATGAGCTGGATTTCCATCGAACCAGGTCATGTATCGCTGATAAATACCTTTGACGTTGTGGCTAACGGAGCCGTAGTATCCCCGAACATGCCAGGCTTCCTGCAAGGTTGGAGGCAGAGCCAGTTCTTCTGCGATCTCGATGCCCGTCTTTCCAGCATTGGCCATGCGGAGCGTCTGGTCATGGAGGTATGCATAGAGATCCCGCTGTTCGACCAGTGCGTTGGCGATATTCTCCTGGCCCCAGGTGGGCCAGTGGTGACTTGCGAATAGCACATCGCACCCTGGGCCGAAGATGGCGAGTGATTCATCGAGATACCGTGACCACGCTCTTGCGTCCCGCACCTGTGCCCCGCGAAGCGTGATGATGTTGTGCATCGTGTGCGTGGCGCACTCAGCGATACACAGCGCTCGGTGATCTGGGAAGAAGAAATTGATCTCTGCTGGCGCCTCCGATCCGGGGACCATTTGGAATATGATTCTTACTCCGTCTATGGTATGCTCTTCGCCAGTTTTGCGAATTAACAAGTTGGGTGGAATTAACGAATTCGTCCCGCTTGAAACGGTCATCCCAAGACCGCAGCCGATTTGTCCAGCGGGGCCCTTTGGGAGATGGCTTCCAAACATGTACGCTGCTCGCCGTCTCATCGCATCATTGGCATAGACGTGCTCACTCGTGAGCTCCTCCATGAAACCCTCTGGCCCAATGATTGGAATGGACGGATCCGGCATCGTTGGTAACACTCCCCTTGCACCCCCGAGGTGGTCCATATGTGGATGTGAATAGATCAAGCCGGTGACGCTGCGGTTACCGCGATGTGTTCGGTAGAGATCCAGTGCAGCTGCCGCACATTCCACGGACACGAGGGGATCGATGACAATTATGCCGTCCTTTCCCTCCACTATCGTCAGGTTAGAGATATCGAACCCCCGGACTTGGTAGATCCCCGGAGTGACCTCGAAAAGGCCTTGTATCGAACATAATCGACCTTGGCGCCAGAGCGAGCGGTTGGCCGTGGGCGGACACTCTTCTTGGAGGAATTTGTATTCCTCATTATTCCACACTGTGCGGCCGTCACTGGCTTTGATTATGCATGGATCTAAAGCTCCAATGAAGCCGCGATGGGCATTCTCGAAATCGGTGGCCGCTGTCGCGGAGGGAGATGTGGTTTCGCTCATGGTCGACGAAGGCTAGGTGCTACAGAATTAAGAGTCCAATTTCCTGGCGGTAAATAAAATGGAGAGAGGCAATGCAGGAGCCGGATGAATTCGATAACGAAAACACTCCGTAGCACCTTTGCTTTCATGGTCTAGATAACTTCAACAGCGCTCGGGTTTATGTTCCGAGAAACAGCGACACCATACTTTGAGCTTAAGGATAGAAGCAAATTACCGAGCTCAACGGGAAAGACTCCGAATGAGTGGAATTGCTCGCTTATTAGTCTCTTCCTGCAACAAATCATGCTTGTGGACCGCTTTCCCCATATTATAGAATTATATCGAGAACCCGCGGGTCAGGCCCATGGCTCGGCTGCAGGATCTGAGATGATTGGGCTGTTGACTAGTTATCAATGGCAGTTGAAGATTGACAAGTTGGCCTCGGTGGCCCATCAACACTCATTGATTGCCATCTTTGAGACGAGGTAAGCAATTTGAAATGCGGCAATACGATGCAACAATTGGAATACGGGCTGCCAGATCGTTATTTGCCATATCCTGTTGATGGTGGCCCCATTGAGATCAGGTCGTTAGGCGCCTTTAGGGTTAACTAGGGCCCAGAGACCCGGGGAAAACTGCGGGGGAGGCGAAGCCTAGCCATCCTCGGGACAGAGCTCGAGTCTAGGGAAGCCCGGGTGACGCCCCGAGCATTGTTTCGACAGCGCGTTTCTCCCAGCCTGGGATTCCTGGGAATTTGCTGGAACGAGCACTCTTCTGGGTACCGGCGAATAAAGCCCTTGAGCCGGATGCTCTTCATCGAGGGCTTGCAAGCGGATCTGCATCCGATACCCCTTTCCCCGGACCCCAGACTTTCGAAAGCTGCCCTGAGCGGGTTGGGGTAAGCAGCGGATCTGAATCCGAGAGTGGGAACAGAGCTCAGCGGCGGGACCGTGTATAAGTAGGAGGCTGCAAAATGCAAATACCAGCAGTGGGCATCCCTGACCCCGTCATCCACATCAGAGAACTCAATTAATCCCATCTCGTCTGAGAAATGGCGGCGACTTCACAAGAAAAGGATGCTGAGAGCGTCCAGCATATGGAGACGTCCATCCCCCAAAAGCTTGAAGCTCAAGAAGAGGACCCCAACTATGATCCTGTCTACAGCTACAAGCAGCAGCGGAGGATCATCCGCAAGATTGATCTGCGTTTGCTTCCGGCGCTGGGCCTAATGTTTGGTATCAGCATTGTCGACAGAGTCAACATTGGAAATGCCATGATCGCCGGGTACGCTGCTCAACTCCCCCAGAAACATTATATTACTGACAAATGTTTCCGATTAGCATGCGGGAGGACTTGCAGCTCAATGTCGGCACTCGTTATGTCTGTATCCATCTTTTGTCGATAGTTCTGGCGTGCTCCGGCTTATAGATTTACCCTGCAGAGTGTCGCGCTGCTCGTGTTCTTCGGATCCTATGTTCTCTGCATGTGGCCGAGTGCCATGATCTTCCCCAAACTAGGTCCCAGAGTCTATCTCTCAGGAATCACAATCTCCTGGGGTATCGTAACTATTGTAAGTCTTCTCCCAGTGACGCATGAAACCTTGCTTCTGACCTCACTCCAAGTCATTCGGATTCGTGAATAACTGGGGAACTCTGGCCGGACTTCGCGTCTTGCTTGGAGCTATAGAAAGCGGCTTATTCCCAGCAGCAATCTATCTAATTGGCTCATGGTATACTCGATGCATGTCTTCTCCTTGTCAAATCTTGCCCAGGATCTCGCGGCTGACGTTATGTCTAGATGAAATGTACAAGAGATATTCCGTCTTTTATCTGATCCATAACTTGGTGGGTGCCTTTGCTGGTCTCCTCGCATTCGGCTTCATGCAGATGGGCGGGTTGCAAGGCCACGCTCCCTGGCGTTGGATCTTTATCATGGAGGGACTATTGACATGCCTAATCGGTGTATTTGGCCATATTGCCCTGGTCGGTCACCGGAAGGATGCACACAAAGCTTGGAAGTTTCTGTCCCCATCAGAGATCGACTTTGTCAATCGCCATATTAGTAAGGATGCCGGTGCTCAGCAAGATGAGCCCTTCAGCTTTGGCGCTTTCTTCAAGACTGCGCTGGACCCAATCGTGTGGGCATACTCTCTGATGTTCTGGTAAGATCCGTCTACCTGTGTTTTCCCCTAAACATGCAAGATTGCTCATGGTTCCCGTTGGATGGCGCAGTTGTACGACAACGGTCTCTTATGCCATAGCGTTCTTCCTCCCTATCATTTTAAGAGATTACTTGAAGTTCAGCCTTGGTGCCGCGCAGGCGCTGGTCACTCCTCCATACATCCTCGCCTCGATCACGATGTATGTCCAAGGGTGGCTGAGTGACAAGTACCGCCTGCGCAGCCCCATCGTTGTGGTGAACTGCCTTGCCGCAATTCTCGGTTTCTGCTTGCTAGCCTGGGTTCCTTCTCCGGGAGTGCAGTATCTGGGAACCTTCTTCATCCTGTCGGGCAGTCAGTCCACCATGGCCACGCTCATGGCATGGCAAACCAACAACGTCCGCGGGCAATGGAAACGATCGTTCTGCAGCGCCAGTTTGGTCAGTTTCGGCGGCATCGGCGGAGTGATGGGCGCCCTTGTCTTCCGTTCCCAGGACGCACCAGAATACTATCCTGGAATTTACACTGCCCTTGTGTAAGTCCTATTTGACATTTTGTGTTTCCCCCCCCCTTCCGCTTATTGTATCACGGGTCCCCTAATCGTCGTTTGTCTGAACAGGTGTCAAGGGGTGAACCTCGTGATTGTAACAGTACTTGTGCTCTACTTCAAACGGGCCAACCGACAAGCAGATGCTAATGGCCGTATCATTGAAGGGTTGGCCAGCTTCCGCTACACCCTTTAAATTGGGCAGGCTGTGTATCAAATGGGGCTGTTGTCGAGGATCGGAGCGGTCGCTTGAGCATGTAGATATGGATATAATCAAAAACCCTATTGTCACGGAAGATCTGAAACACTTCGTTTGCTTTTAAAGAGCAACTTCAAGAAGCCTTTTCACCAGCCCACTGCAGCAAGGAGGAACGGTCTCACTCAAAACAATCCCCAGCGTATCCCCATTGCTCTATTTCTTCGGTAAGGCGTTTTCCTAGGGCTTCCCAAAACCCGTTTTCGCCAAAAGTAAGGGCTAGGAAAGCTATAGAAATGTTGAACTGTGTATCGCGGAACCCCCCTCCGTGTAACTAGCCCTCACGACTAAATTAACTAGTTAGCTGCGGCCATCCATCGGTCTTCCAGGGAATGGGTTGCCAAACAAAAACACCGGTAAGCGTTTGCACCCAGGCAAGAACGCTTTGAGAAGCGGGAAGGCCGGATTCGAAACAACCTTACCGGCCGCTAATGTTTCAGGGCGGAAACGCCGCAAAGAATTGAACTTTGTACCTTGGAGTGGCTGAGGGAATGAAGAGTGTGCCCTTGGGTTGGTGGGAGGTTGGAATTAATATCTATAGAGGGCTTTGGAATTTCTTGTGACAGAGATCGGAGCTTTGAATATAGAGAAGATCTTTCGCGTCGAATCTATGATTACAATAGTTTACTGAATTATATACTGATATTGGGGCAAGAAATAAGGCCCAGGAGCCTAACTGCAAAGGGACGAGCGGAAAAAAGGGAATTAGACTCGTATATTACTCCAAGGGCGTTGTTACATAGAAAGAGGAAGGAAATAGAAAAGACATCAGTCAGAAATGGACCAGAAGGCACAGGCGAGGCGACCACGGCCCAAGCTTTCAAGAATGCACAGAAAGGGAGGTTCTTGACTCTCTGAGAAGTTTAAAAAAGAATATCCACAATAGAAAGCAATCATGCCCGTTGTTGGAAAGCGTTTCGGCGCCCCCGAGACAATATAAATCTTGCCGTTTGTTCTCCCGAAGCCCCCCAAAACAGCATCCCTCAAACGAAGCTGGGATATCCCGCCGCTCATGTTCCAACCCCCTCCATATTCACCCCCGCCTCGAAAGAATTGTCCCAGGGTGAACTCTCCAATAGCACGCCTAACGTCCTGATGCTTGCAAACACGGCGGCAAGGGGTATCACTGGAGCAGATCGTGGGTATCGTCATCGAAAAGGAATCTATGCGAAGAAGACAGCGACCATGGCGGCGAGACCAGCGGCGACGATGGAGCCACCGAAAGTGCTGGCGGCACCCTCAAATGGTGGTGGGCCACTGGGGCAAATGTTAGACCAATTCGCTAATATTGGAGAAGGATGCACAACTTACGTGGTGGATGGCTGGGGAGGAACACCGGTTCCGCTTGGGACACCGCTTGGGAGACCACCGGTGGGAATACCGCCAGTTGGGACTGGGTTACCGCCAGTTGGGCCGGATGGTGGCTGAGAGGGCCAGAGGGTGACAACGGAGGTGGTCACAGTTGGGACGCAGGTGGTGTAAGTGATGACAGAGGTGCTTGGGAGGCCATTGGTTGGATATGGTGGGTTCTCAGTTGGGATGGCCGGGCTGTCGTCGCTGCGAGTTGGGATAATGTCAATGGTGGTCTCGGTGCGAGTCGAGTGCGATGGGCAGTCGGTAACCTCTGGTGGGCAGTCGGTCACGGTGATGATGCGGGTGGAGTACTCGGTGGGAGCAGGCTCCTGAGGAATACCGGTTCCAGTGGGAGCTGGGATGCTTCCAGGGCAGTCTGGGACATCAGGGCCGCAGGAGGTGATGGTGACCTCGCGGGTGCTGTAGACGCTGTTAATGGTATATCCGGGGAGAGCGAGCC